CAGCAAGCAATGAAAACCAACCCTCAACGGGAGAATGAATCTGATGTCAAGAGATACCACATTATAATATTCAACAGAAAATTACACAGTGTGCAAAGAAACAAAAAAGTATGAACCATTCATGGGAGAAAGGAACATAAACTGTCTCCAAGGAAGTACAGACATTGGGCTTACTATACAAGGACTTTAAATCAACTGTCTTAGTCTGAAAGTGCCAAAGGAAACCATGGACAAAGAGTTAAAGGAAACCAGGAGAATGATGTCTGAGCAAATAGAGAATATCACCAGACAGAAATTATAAAAAGGAAACACAAATTCTGGAGCTGAAAAGTACTTTTTTCATGAAAAAAATCACTAGAGAGTTTCAACCTCAGATTTGAGCAGGCAGAAGAATCTGTGAACTAAAAGTCAATTGAAATTATTGAGTCCGAGGAGAAGAAAGAAAAATAAACAGGCTATGGGACACCATCAAGATACCAACAGATTTATAATGGGAGTCTCCATAGAATAGGAGAGAAAGAAAGAGTATTTCAAGAAATAATGGTAAAAAACTCCACAAACTTATATGAGACGTGAATCTACACATCCAAGAAACTCAACAAATTCCAAGAGGGATAAATGCAAAGAGATCCACACCAAGACACAGTTTAATCAAACTGTCAAAAGCCAAAAACAAAGAATCTTGAAAGCAGCAAGAGGAACCAGGACTCATGTACAAGGGACCAACAATAAGATTAACAACTAAAAAGGAAAAACATACAGCTCTCCTCCTGTGGAGGGGAAAACCCAGTTCTTGCCTACTGTGTGTTTCTTCCCTGTAAGTGTCCTTTACTACTGACACAGAACACTTCACCTCTGACACTTTTAGTCGCCAAATTTGTGGAGGTTCCCCCCCACAATAAGCAATTCTCTGCAACACTTGCTGGGTGTCCTACAATTTAACTCAATTCTGACACTTATCTACCTGGAGATAGTGTCAGATCCCACAGGTTAAGGGCTCAGACCCACAAGACTATTCCCACCCCACTTCAGATGCCAGTCACAAGTAGTAGGTTATCCAGAACTTCTGCCCAATTTGGCTACAAATTGGAGGTTCCCACAATCCACTCCTCAGGGTCATTAATTTGCTAGAGTGGCTGACATAACTCAAGGAAACACATTTACCAGTTTATTAAAGGATATGATAAAAGAGACAGATGAACAGTCGGATTAAGAGATACATAGGGAAAGCTCTGTGGGACGGGGCACCAAGCTTCCATGCCCTCTCCAGGTGCACCACTTTCCCCACACCTCCCACCTGTTCACCAACCTGGAAGCTCTCCAAACCCCATATTTTTGGATTTTTATGGAGGCTTCATCATGTAGTCATGATCAATCATTAACTCCATTGTCAGCCCTTCTCCCTTCTCAAAAGAATGCCAGGGAGCGGGGGGGCGGGGGGGGGGAGGCTGAAAATTCCAAGCTTGTAATCCTGACTTTTTCTTTCCGGTGACCAGCCCACAGTGACAAGTCCATCTGGGAGCCCACTCAGAGTTACCCCTTTAGAACGAAAGGCACTCCTATCACCCAGGAAATTACAAGGGTTTCAGGAGCCCTGTGTCAGGATCCAGGGCCAAAGATCAAATATTAGAAGAAAAGATGCTTCTGATGCTCTTATCATTTAGGAAATTACAAGGGTTTCAGGAGCTCTGTGCCAGGAACTGAAGGCAGAGACCAATATATATTTTCTATTATCTCACAACAGCCATTTCTCATCAGAAACCATCAAATCCAGAAGGCAGTGCGATGACATATTTAAAGTACTGACAGAAAAAAACTGTTAATCAAGTATCTTATACCTGGAAAAACAATCCTTCAAAAATGAAGGAGAAATTAGGACATTTCCAGATAATCAAATGCTGAAGGAGTCAATCACCAGTAGACTGGCCCCATGAGAAATAGTAAAGGAAGTCCTTCAGGCAGAAGTGAAAGGACATTAGGCAGTGTCTTGATGCCAAAAGAATGAATAAAGAACACTGGTAAAGTAACTCCATAGGTAAATGCTACACAAGCCTGTAATATTTTATTTTTGACCCATAACTCCTATAAGGTTCAAAAAAATGCATAAAACAGTAGTCATAAATCTGTGTTTTTGTTATACGATATATAAAGATGTAATTTGAGACAACAAAAACCTAAAGCGAAAAAGACAAAGGTATACAGGAGCAGAGTTTTTCTATACTATTAAAGCTAGGTTGGTATTAATTCAAAATAAATTGTAATACATCTAAGAGATTAACTGTAACCTCAGAGTAACCACTAAGAAGATAACTAAGAAATATACAGCAAAGGAAATGAGAAGGAAAGCAAAACAATACATTACCAAAAAAATCAAACACAAAATATGGCATTAATGGAGGAACTGAGGAAGACAAAAGATAAGACATACGGAAAACAAAGTAACAAAATAGCAGAAGTAATCTTCCTTGTCAGGAATTCATTTAAATGTGAACGAGTTAAAGTTTCCAATTTAAAGATAGAGATTGGTAAAATGGATAAAACAGCATAATCCAACTATCTGTTGTCTACAAGAGACTCACTTTAGAGCCAAAGATAAAAATAGATTGAGTGAAAGGACGGACAAAGATATTCCATGCAAACTGTAACCAAAAGAAAGCTGGGGTGGATACACTAATATCAGACAAAATAGAATTTATGTAAAACACTTTACCAGAGACAAAGGAGGATATTGTATATTGATAAAAGGGTCAATTCATCAAGAAGATATAACAAATATAAACATTATGCACCTAGCAATAGAGTCTTAAAATATATGAAGTGAAAATTGATAGAAATGAAGGGAAAAATAGACAGTTCTATAATAATATTTTGAGACGTAATACTCCACTTTCAATGATGCATACAACAACCAGGCAGAAGGTCGATAAGGAAATAGTGGACTTGAAAACACTATAAACCAAACATGTGACAGATATATCCACATATATATGCACTCCACCTAAAATTAGCAGAATACACATTTTTCTCAGGTGGATGTGAAATATTGAACAGGATAGACCATTTATTAGGCCACAAAAACAGATCTCAATAAATTTAAAAAATAGAAATCATACAAAGTATATTCTCCGACCATGATGGAAGAAACTGGAATCAATAACAGGAGGAAAACTGAAAAAGTCAACAACACACCCTTAAAAGCTAATGGGGCAGGAAAAAAAATCACCGGGAAACTATAGAAGACTTTGAGATGAAAACATAGGTCCACAGTGGTAAGGAGAGTCCTCAGGGCTGTATTTTTCACATAAAAGATGGTTAATCCAGTTTTCTTTCCTAAAATTTACTCAGCCTGGGAGGTGGGGCAGCTGTTGCTGTGGCTCCTCCGGCTGCTCCTCTGCCTCCATCCTCTGGGCCACCACCACTGCTTGGTCCCCCCTGTCCTGGGACCGCTTCTGCCCCAGCTCATTCCCAACTCAGGCTGGAGCCGCGTGTCCTGCATTGACCCAGATGTAATTGCAATCACACATAAATAGAAGTTCAAGGAAATCCCACCTCCATTGCCACTGCACTTCTTTTCCTGGAAACCTCTGGATAGATAATTTACTTTTTCTAACTGCCTGAACACTCTGCACCCTCTCCCGTTCTCTCCCTCCCTTTCTCTCTTTCCTTTTTATTTATCTTTTCGTACGTAACAGAATTGAAATCAACCTATGGAATCTTCAAAGAAAGGTGTATATTGCCTTTTGCATAATTTAATTTTCTCCATGTGAATATTCAGTTGTTCCGATACCAGTTACTGAACATTTTCCTCATTCCCCACTACTTTGCAGTGCCACTTTTTAACAAAATCAGTATCTATATATGATTAGATGTATGTCTTGGCTCTCAAATCCCTTTGGTCTATTTTTTAATGCTTTTACTGATACCACACTCCTTTAGTTACCATAGCTTTGCAATGAGTCTTGATATTTGACAGAGGATGTCTTCTCATCCTGTTCTCTTTTAGGGTGTTTTGGTAGCTCCCAGTGAGGGTAAATGGAGGTACAAACAGAATAATTCATGAAGTATTCTTTCTACAAAAGTGAACCTGAATCAAATTGAACCTGTAATTCTAACCATTGGTGCACAGAACAGACAGAGAAATATTTGCGACGACATGAATGAAACCAGAGGACATTATGCTAAGTGAAATAAGCCAGACAGAGAAAGACAAATACTGAATGGTATCCCTTATATGTGGGATCTAAGGGGAAAAAAAGCTGAACTTATAGAAACAGAGAGTAGAATGGTGGTAGTTGCCTGGGCAGAGGGGTGGGGGAAATGGGAAAATGTTGGTTACACAAACTTTCAGTTATAAGATGAATAAGGTCTGAGGATCTGATGTATAACATGGTGACTACAGTTGATAATGCTGTAACTGTATAATTGAAATTTGCTAAGAGAGTAGATCTTAAAGGTTCTCAGCAGATCAAAAAAAAGCTAACTATGTGAAGTGATGGATCTATTAATTCGATTGTGGGAGTCCTCTCACAATGGATATCAACTCATCTTGTACACTTTAAATATATTACAATTTTATTTGTCAATTATACCTCAATAAAGCTTAAAAAAAAGAGTTGAATTTTTTACGGTCATCTGAGCAGAATCCCCTACTTCCACACCTACTTTTTGAATAATCATGGCTCATTGATTTCAACCACCTTGTAGAAAATAACACATTCTATCGTATTTATAATGTCAAGAGCAGAGTGGGTCTTGATGATAGGATGTTTCAAAGTGAAGTAAACAAAGAAACATCTTAAAGATATATTCGAGGCTTTTCTTTTTCAAATTACAGTATTTCCTTCACTTCTTTGCCAGTGCGTCTTTCATTTGCCAGAAAACCCCATATTTCAAAATGAGTAATTAAAACCAACAAAAGTGAGAAACTTATTTGTTTTGTGGCCTGATCAGAGGTTACTTTTCCTTCTTGTGAATCTTTAGCATCTTGGAATGAATCGCTCATGCGAGGTAAACATTGTCCGAGGTCCAGATGCATCCAGGGACAAGCAGCATAAAGAAGGCAATAGCATCAAACCAAGTTTGACATCCTCTCTTCGCCTTTCCTGTCCTAGACAGCCACATTGACTTCTCAGTCACATGTATTAGTATTGTAATTTTTTAAAATTAAGAAAAAAGTAAAGAAGGGGAAAAGCAAAGAAAAAGTCCAAGAGCTAATAGCGCATGAGAACTAAATGAATTGAACCATCTTATACGTAAAAAAAAAAAAAAAAAAAAGGTGGCAACTTAGTGTAAGGGCTCCTTTGCGGAGGATTCTGGGAAGTGTAGTCCAGGAGCGCCGGGTAGTCAGAGCCACTTCCGCTCTCGAAAGGAGGAACAGTAGCCCTCCTTCCTCTCGGGGGTTCTGGGAAATGTGGTCCAGGAGCCGTGCGTGGTCGGGGCACTTCCGGTACTAGAGGGCTAGGCAGAAGTCCTCGGTCCCTTGCGGGAGGTGAGTGACCGCCGAGTCGCTGCGGGTCTTACGAGCTCGCCTGGACCCGGCCCCCACAGGCGCCGCCCTCGCCCTCGGGACCTGGAAGCCGCGGGGCAGGGGCGCTGCTCGGCTCACCTGGGCGTCTAGGGCGGCTCGCGCGACGGGCGTCGGGGGCGGGCTCGAGGGTCTTCTGGGCGCTGGCTTTCCGTCGCCTCCCGCTCCTTCCCCTCGCTCTGCCGCCCGGCAGCGATATAGTCGCGTGGAGTTAGGAAGTTTCTCTGTTTCTCGTCTGCGCAGTGGAGTTGGTAGCGGCCCCTCCCTAGGAGACGCGTTGTGAGGTTCCCGTGAAGTAAATAGATGTAAACAGCTCGGACCCGATCCCGGCACGAGCTGAAGGGCGGTCGGTTGGTACCAGCCTGTGACTTCCCGAGAGCATCTGTGAGCCCACGGTGGCCTCTGAGCTCCGGCCGCTTCCCTCACCCCTGCGCCAGCGGGGCCGGTCGTGGATTCCCGATGACTCCCCATCTCCCCTGCGGGTCTTCCCCCAGCTGGTGCCGGGGGTGTCCGCTTCCGTTTATCCTGGACCAGAGACTCACGTGTGACATCTCTCAGCCTCCTTTCCTTCCGCCGCCCGGACTTCTCCGCGAGGCTGCAGAGAGGAGGAGGGAGGGACCCCTGGCTCCGGGTGACACTGTCCCGGCGTGAGAGAAATTAACACGTTACGTCATTTCCGCTCTCAGTTGGGCGGCAGACTTCCTTTGCTCCTTAGCAGATTTTTTCTGTTGGGCAAGTGTTCCGATGTTTACAGAATAAACGGGAGGCGGGATGAGACCGTGTTGATGAGGGAGCGATAATGATTTGTTAATATGTTCTGTAGATTTTATATGCCTTGATTAGCTTAATCCTCGTAACAACAAAGATACTGTTATTATCTGTATTGCAGTTGCGAACGTTGGTAAGTGAAGGACTTAAGTTATTTTCCCAAAGTCAGACAGCAGGCATAAGGTAGAACTGGGAACCTTTGTGCCAATGACTGAAGGAAGGAGGGTCATTTCGTGATAATTTGGGACCTTAGAGGACCTGAAGGCTGTGCTCGTTTAATTTCGTGTTATTTTTATATGACGTTATGTTCATATTCTGATCATAGAAGCAATTTGTGCTCATCATAGAGAATTTGAGAAATAGGTGAAGAAAGGCAAAAATGATCTATAATGCCAGGATGTAGAGATAAATGTAAGCATGTTAATGTATTTCTCTTTAGTTGTTTCTCTATTTTTGTATGCTTCTCAAAAATTGTATCATACTTGTGGTTTTTTGTTTGTTTGTTTGTTTTTAAGATTGGCACCTGGGCTAACATCTGTTGCCAATCTTTTTTCTTCTTCTTCTCCCCAAAGCCCCCCCCCCGCCCCCCCAGTACATAGTTGTATATTCTAGTTGTGAGTGCCTCTGGTTGTGGCTTGTGGGACGCTGCCTCAGCGTGGCTTGATGAGCGGTGCCATGTCCGCGCCCAGGATCTGAACTGGCGAAACCCTGGGCCATCGAAGCAGAGCGCGGGAACTTAACACTTGGCCCCGGGGCCGACCCCTGTAGTATTTTTATATGTGGTAACTTGTGACTATGAACGTTTTCAAACACAAATGTAGAGAAAATAATGTAATGAATTCTCACATAGCCGTCAACCCTTGTCAACCTTCAACTGTTGTCACCTTTTTTAAAGATTTAATTTTTTTTCCTTTTTTCTTTCCAAAGACCCCTGGTACATAGTTGTATATTCTTAGTTGTGGGTCCTTCTAGTTGTGGCATATGGGATGCCACCTCAACATGGCCTGAGGAGCGGTGCCATGTCCACGCCCAGGATCCGAACCAGGGAAACCCTGGGCCGCCGAAGTGGAGCATGAGAACTTAACCACCCGGCCACGGGGGCAGCCCGTGTTGTCACCTTTTTGTCAATCTTGTTGTACAACCGCCCCCCCCCCCTTTTGGGTTTCAGTATTTTAATGCAAAATCCAGGCATTGAGTCAAGAGGATTTATACTAGATTGTTCTAAATATATGGAGGTTAGGGGAGCGAGGATATTCACAATTCCCGTGTTTTCACATGGCAGCTAGGAGAACGGCGGTTAGTGAGAGAGCTGGGGACCCTGAAAGAGGTGCAGTTAAGGAAAAGAAGGTGGTAAATTTTGTTTGCTCTTTCGGAATGTAATTTGCTGCGGGTTTCCAGTCGGTCTCTGCTCCCAGGCTGCCAATCACTGTGTTGTGGGGATTCTGTCATCTTCTCTCCAGTGTGCCCAGCACTGTGACAGGGTTTGCAGAGAGAAGTATTCAGTTAAGTGTTTGTGGCTGGTGCAGGTGTTCAACTGGCTGCTGGATACAATGGCCTGCAGCTCTGAGAGATTGCTTTCTTTCTTTCTTTCTTTTCTTTTTTTTTTTTGAGGAAGATTTGCCCTGAGGTAATGTGTGTTGCCAATCCTCCTCTATGTGTTAGTATGTGGGCTGCCAGCACAGCATGGCCGCTGACAGAGAGGTGTAGGTCTGCACCCGGGAACTGAACCTGGGCTGCCAAAGTGGAGTGCACTGAACTTAACCACTAGGCCACTGGGGCTGGCCCATGAATATCTCACTTTTAAGAATGACCTTGATGTTGCTTGAGCAAAGCAAATAAAATAAACCCAGAGGAAGAAATTGGAAGATACAGTTCATCCTCTCCTCCTCCCAGTGAGGAACAACAGCCTCAGAGTTTTATAGCTCACAGGAACCTCCGAGTCGATTAGCCCAGTACCTGCCCGACAGTGTGTGTCTGCAGTCATTCTCTGATTTCATGTGTTCTGAGTACTCACCGTATTCTGGGTGCTGGAGATAAAATGATATGCTCATCATCTCATAGGCAAACAGATGCTTAGCCCCCAGTTGTCCCCCAGCTGCCCCAGCTGATGGAAGGCTGCTCGGAGCAGGCATCCGAAGGGTGAGCAGCAAGCAGGTAGCCAGCAGAGCCGAGCGAGGCACCCCAGACCCCACTTGCTTTCTCCTGCTGAATCCTGTGAAATGTCAGGTCTCTTTGCAAAACCCCGCTGCTGAGCAGAGCAGGAGGGCACAGCACATATGAGGCCAGAGCAAGGGCACTGGATCTTATGAACTGATGTTGCTTCCCAGCTTTGAGAAGTGGATACGTGGCTCTCATCTGTATGAAGTTGCTCCTGCCTTAAGTAGGAGGACCCACAACCATGTGAAGCTGTCGTGGATTGAATTTCTGTACAGTCCCTGAAACCTGTTAACAACCCCGTGGGCTCTATATTGTTATCATTGCCATTTTATCGACGTGAAATAGGCAGAAAGAGCTAGTAAGTCAGAAGAATCAATAGTGGAATCCTGATGATCTGGCGCCAGTGTCTCCCAGCAAATCACTTTCCACCAAGTCTGTGCTTACTCCCTTCCTCTCATCCCTGAGGACGCCCCTCCCTTCTTTTCTTCGAGTTTGTGATTAGAGATGAGGAGACCAGACTAAGAGCTGAGGCTCTGGAGTCGGAGTCAGGTGCAGTCTCGCCTCTCACCAGCTCTGTGACCTTTGGTAACTTGACCTCGCCAACCCTCAGCTTCCTCATCCGTCGAATGGGAACAACAGTCATCCTATCGGCACTTACTGAGAGCTTACATGATGTGCCAGGCACTGAGCCAAGGCTTTTTTTTTTTCTGTTTTTAAAATTGAAATGTAATCCAGGTATGGTATAATACACTCTTTTAAAGTATATGATTCACTGGTTTTAGCATAATTCACAAGGTTGTACAGCCATCACCACTGTCTGATTCCAGAACATTTGCATCACCCCTCCCTGCCCAATCTTCCAGTCCCTGGCAACCGTGATTTACTTTCTGTCTGTGGATTTGCCTAGTTGGTTTTACTGGACTCGCTCACTTAATCCCCAAAGCAACGTGGTAAGTTAGGATCTGTCATTACTCCCACAGAATTGCTCATTTAAGTGAGACAGAGACTGTCAAACTTTTAAGATGCAAAAACCAGCAGTCATGTTTTTAGTTAGTTTTTTTCCTACAGTGAACGTGGGACTCTTCTGGCTGCGTGAAGAAAATTCACAAGTACTTATATGGTCACGCGCTGCATGACGATGTTTTGGTCAACAACAGACTGCATATTCCACAGGGGTCCCAGAAGGGTAGTAGCCCAGAGCCTAGGTGTGCAGTGGGCTATACCATCTAGGTTTGTGTAAGCACGTTCTGTGATGTTCGAACCACAACGACATCGCCTCACGACACATTTCTCAGAACGCATCTCTGTTGTTAAGTGACCCATCAATGTACCTTTTACAAAACCAGATACTAATTTCAATTAAATATCATTATAGAACAACAAGTTATTAAGCAATATAGCTGATCAGAATTTGGGGCTTTTCAGACACAAAGATGAGTTTCTTAAGACAGAGCATTCACTGGCTCTGAAATCTGAATGTTATAAAAGGCTCCTCCATCGGAAGTGATGGCAAGAGCCATTTGCAAAGGACAAGATTATGGTGCATGATCACCTGCTTTTCTGCAGTTGCATGAGGTCAATTCTGTGTTTCCGTCTGCTCGTACTTTTGACCCTCACAGCAGTCCTGTAAGGGAAGCACTATTCTCATTTTGTGGGCGATAGATTTGAGGCACAGGGAGGTTAGTTAAATGAAATGGAGTGAGTAGCAGTACCAAGATTTGACCCCAGACTTCTTGGCCCCAGAATTCACTCTCTTAGCCAGTACATTTTACTGCCTTTCATTTCCATGATACCCAGAACGAGAGGATAACCCTGGAAGCTGCAAGGGACTCTGTGTTAGCTCTGCTGCTTACAGTTGGGCAGGTTGTTCACTGCACAAGGGTCCCTTGCTGAGGGGCTAGCGATATGTGCCAAGGAGGGTCACTTTTAAAATTCACACAGAGCAGCCACAGGAGCCAGGGCTGTGTCTCATGGCTTCTTTCTCCTTTGCCAGCCCTGCCTTCCCAGGACTGCCCTTCCCCAGAAGGAGCAGGAGAAAATGACCAAGCTTCAGGTGAGTTGTTTCGATTTTTATCTCTTAAAATTACATCTCTTTTCTCAAAGATTAGACACGTCTTTTTTCTCTTCCAGGGGAGGGATAAAGGAGGAAAACGTGTTCATTATGCACCAGTTACTTGCTTTTTTATTGATTTGAGTTTTTGTTTTTGTCTTTAGTTTTTGTTTGTTTTACTTTATCATCATTTTTGTTTCACAAATAGTGCAGAAAATCATAGCTATCAAAAAATTAAAAACTCCACATTACTGCACTGCATATCCATCAGCCATCGTCCCCATGCTGTATTTTACATGATTACAATCACAGTATATCTACAGTTTTCCATTGTATTTTTTCATGTAATGTTATCACTTGAGTTTCTTATGGTTCAGCGTTCTTTTATGTACTTGTCCCAGAAGGGTTTCCATTTTTTGTCTAAACTCAGAAACTATAAGCAAATGCACGTGCTGCTGTGCCTCTGAATAAATTTTGCTTTGATCTGTAGTTCTTTTCATGTGGGGCTTTTAAAAATGAAATATGATTTACTTACAAAAATTGGATCTTAAGCATCTGGTCAGTGGCCGTCGTAGCCCTCATTTTACAAGTGGTCTAATTGCATCAGTCACCACCTAAGACAAGATACAGAACATTTCTATCACCCTGCAAAGTTCTCTCAGGTCTCTCTCGTCAGTTCCCAGCCCCCTTGAGGCATCCACTGCTCTGATCTATTATCATATGATTAGATTTGCTTGTTTTCAAATTTAACGTAACTAACGGAATCATAGTCTGACTTTTGTGTCTGGCTTCTTTGACTCAGACAAATGTTTTTCAGATCCATCTGTGTTGCTGTACGGATCAGTAATTCATTCCTTTTTATTCCTTTTTATGAGTATATCACAGTTTGTTTATCCTTTATTCTTATTTATTTATTTTAGATTGGCCCTGAGCTAACATCTGTTGCCAATCTCCCTTTTTTTTCTTTTTTCTTCTCCCCAAAGCCCCCCAGGACATAGCTGTATACTCTAGCTGTAGGTCCTTCTGGTTGTGTGTGTGAGACGCCTCCTCAGGGTGGCTTGATGAGCAGTGCTAGGTCTGCGCCCAGGATCTGAATTGGTAAACTTTGGGCGACTGAAGCAGACTGCGTGAACCCAACCGCTACACCACCGGGCCGGCCCTCTTACACATATTTTATTAAATTTATCCCTAAGTGCTTGATGTTTTTGGGGTGCTTTTCTGAATGGCATTGTTTTGGAAATTCAATTTCTGTTTGTTTCTTGCTACAATATAGAAGTATAATTAATTATGTATTTTGAGTTTGCTAAATTTGTCTATTAGTTCTAGTAACATTTTTCTCCCTCTCAGGATTTTCTACATAGATGACCATCCGTAAATAAAGAGTTATACTTCTTCCATTCCCAGCCCTGTTCTGTTGACTTCTTTTCCTTCCCTTATTGCACTGGCTAGGACTGCTAGAACAATTTTGAACATAAGTACTGACCGTATCCATCCTTGCCTTGTGCCTAATTGTAGGGAGAGAGCCTTCAGTCTGTCATGCTGACTCGGTGGGCTTTTTGTAGATGTCCTCCGTTGGAGCTGAGGAAGTTCCTTCTAGTCCTACTTTATTCAGAGTTTTTATCATGAATGAAAGTTGAATTTTGTCAAATGCTTTTTCTGTTTATGCTCAGATGCTTATTTGTTCCTTTGGTTCCTTTGATTCTTCTGAGCCCTGGTTTTTGTTTTGTTTTTTTTTTGAGAAAGATTAGCCCTGAGTCACTATCTGCCACCAATCCTCCTCTTTTTTGCTGAGGAAGACTGGCCCTGAGCCAACAGCCGTGTCCATTTTCCTCTACTTTATACGTGGGATGCCTGCCACAGCATGGCTTGACAAGCGGTGTGTAGGTCCACGCCTAGGATCCAAATGTGAACCCTGGGCTGCTGAAGTGGAACGTGTGAACTTAACCACTATGCCACCAGGCTGGCCCTAATTGAGCTTTGTTTTTAACTGTGTTAGGGTGGGTCTAGAGTAACCTTTATTCTAGAGCAGTGGCTCTCAATTGGGAGCACTTTTGCCCAACCATGGGACATTGGGCAATGTCTGTAGATGTTTTAGATCATCATGACTAGAGGGGTGGATACCAATGACAACTACAGGGCAGAGGCCAGGGATGCAGCTAAACATCCTACAACGTGCAGGATAGCCCTGCACATCAGTGAATTGCCTGCTGTGAAATGTCAGCAGCACCGCTCTACAGTAGCCCTTCTACTAATGCACGGCCCTTCAGCTGCTGCAGAACGCCCCTAGTGATCGGTGAGGGCTTTCCACTTTGGTTGTTTGGAATTCAAACTCCTTAGCTCCTGCTCTGCTCCAGGAACCATGCAGCCCATAGCTCCCCAGCCGCTCTTTGCCTGGCCCGAGCAGTTTCATCCTGTACGTGCAGGGGCTAGTGTTCAGCAGCAGAGGCAAAAGGGTGCCTGGGCAGATTCCCGTGCTCTTCCTCTGCAGGGATCCCTTCCTTCTGGAACTCTGCCCTGTGGTTTCCAGCTACCTCAGTCTCCCATTCTCTGATTTCTGGCTCCTCAACTCAGCGAGGCTCTGCTTGGGGTCCCCCTTCCTGCACCTGCAGATCAGAAATTATCTACGGGCAGAAATCTAGGGTGATCACAGGGCTCATCTCATTTGTTTCCTTCATTTCTGGGGTCAAAGTATTATGATTTCAATGGCTGAAAACAGTTGTTACATATATTTTGTCCCTATTTTCCTACTTATTCATGGTAGGAAGGCTTGTTTAGTACCTGTTACTCTGTTACAGCCAGAAACTTTGTCACCTGCCTTTTTTTTTTTTTTTTTTTGCTGAGGAGGATTCTCCCCGAGCTAACATCTCTGCCAACCTTCCTCTGTTTTTTTGTATGTGGGACACTGCCGCAGCATGGCTGGTGAATGGAGTAGGTCCACACCTAGGATCCCCCTGTATTAGCTATCTATTGCTGTGTAACAAATTACTCTTAAACTTAGCGGCTTAAAACAACAAACATTTATTTACAGTTTCCGTGAGGAATCTAGCGGCAGCTTAGCTCGGTGGTTCTGGGTTAGGGTCTCATAAAGTTGCTGTGAGGCCACCAGAGCGGCAGGCCTGTGTGGGCTGGATGGGACTGAAGGACCTGCTCCCAAGATGGACTCAACTCACTCCCATGGCTGTTGGCGGGAGGCCTCTCCCTAGAGCTGCCTGAGGGTCCTCCAAACATGGCAACTGGCTTACCCCGGCCGGTGACACCCAAGAGAGTGGAAGGCAGAAACCACAGTGTCTTTTATGACCTAACCTTGGAAGTGATGTGTTATCACTTCGGCCATATTTCACAGGCCAATCCTGCTACATCGTGGGAGGGGACTTTAGTAAGGTATGGATACCAGGAGGTAGGGCTCATTGGGGACCATCTTGTGTGCTGGCTACCAGAGCACCTTTTGGTAGATACATACCTACAAAACCTAGCAGATAATATTAGCCATTCAGGTTCATCTGAAAATTCAGCCAAATTAAGTGGCAACAATTATCATAGGATTTTTACTCCCATAGGATGTGTCAGTTATGAAAGTAAGTTTTCTCGGGTTTTTTTTTCCAGTTATAATGTTCGTGTTGAATATTATATACTAGGACTTCATTGAAATAAAGGAGAATTTTCTCAAATCTAGCCTGTTTATTAATATGTGTTTACTGGCTGAATTAAAGGAAATAATCTCATGAGTTCATTAAAAGGACAGAGGAGGTATTTCCCTTTGCAGATATATTCTTTTCCTTTTGCTGAGAATGTCCCCTGCTCTCTAGCCTCGAATTTCTAATTTTGACCTCATACATAAGTCGTGGTATAGTTCTAAATGAGTCTCATTAACACTTAGTGGATAGGAGCCTACTTTTCACCTCTGTTTCCATTAGCATCAAAACAACCAATGGTGGGCCAGCCCCAGGGCCGAGTGGTTAAGTTCATGTGCTCTGCTTTGGCGACCCAGGGTTTTGCCAGTTTGGATCCTGGGCACGGACATGGCACCGCTCGTCAAGCCATGCTGAGGCAGCATGCCACATGCCACAACTAGAAGGACTCACAACTAAAAATACACAACTATGTACTGGGGGGCTTTGGGGAGAAAAAGGAAAAATAAAATCTTAAGAAAAAAAAAAACCAATGGTGAAGTCAAGCTTAATCCTCCCCTGGCTGAATAAGTCTCCCACTGTGGTGGACCTGTGAGGTATTTTTCTCTCTGAACAAGCATTCACATGAAAATGTCCTTATTTTCATCTCTGAATTCTCTTTATCCTTCCAGGACACAAGAATCAGAATGAGATAGAGACGCTTCAAGAAGTGGGATTAAGATACCTTTACCATGAAGAACTTATGTGCTGGCAGATATGGGAGCAATTTACATGTCAGGTAACCAGAAATCAAGACTCAATAATAAATCTGCAAGGCAAGAAGTCCAAGTTACCAAAACAGGGTGATTCCCCCTGTCAGGTGTGGGCAGGAGACTCTGCTCAGGTTTCTGAAGATGAGAACCATGGAATAAAGCTTCAGGGGGAGAGTTCCAGTAGTGTCAAAAACCAAGAGTTGCCGATTAAGACCACCTGGGATTTCTGGAAGAAAAGGTATCTGAGAGAGCCACAGAATAATCAGCATAGGTGTCAGCAAATTGATGTGAAAAATAAACTGTGTAAGTGTGAGTGTTGTGTTGTGAGAAGGATCTCTCATCACCTTGATTGTCAGGAAGTACTCAAAGGAGAGAAGGCCTCCAGCCACAATAACTGCAGAAAAGACTTCACGAAGAAATTGTCCCAGCAGAGTATAATCCACACAGGAGAGCAAACCTCTGATGAGAATGGAAGAGGCTTCGGCCCTGGCTCTAATCTTGAACTTCATTGAGCAGTCGCACATAGGAGAGAAACTCTATGTGTGTAGCGAGTGTGGGAAGGGCGTCAGTTATAGCTCAGTGCCTTGTGTTCATTGGAGTGTTCGCGCAGGAGAGAAACCTGGTGTGTGTCAAGTGTGTGCTGAGAATTTCAATCAGAACCCCTCTCTTCCCGCTCATGAGCCCATTCCCCCAGGAGAGGATGTGTATGAGTGTGACAGGTGTAGAAAAGGCTCCAGTCCTAGCTTAGATCTTAGCGTTCACTGCATAGACAACACTGGAGAGAAATCTGGGAAACGTGAGATGTGCAATAAAGGCTTCAGTCAGACATCACAACTTCATGCCCATCCCAGCACCCACTGTAGAGACAAAACCTACAAATGGGAGGCATGTGACAGGATATTTCATCAGAATTCTGGTCCTCATCAGAGAGTCCACACTGGAGAGAAACCCTATAAATGTGAGGTGTGTGGGAAGGACTTCAGTAAGGCCTCAAATCTTCAAGCCCATCAGAGAATCCACACTGGAGAGAAACCCTACAAATGTGATGTGTGTGCCAAGAGCTTCAGCCGTAATTCCCACCTTCAAGCCCACCAGCGAGTCCACACAGGAGAGAAGCCCTACAAGTGCGACACCTGTGGGAAGGACTTCAGTCAGATTTCTCATCTTCAGGCCCACCAGTGAGTCCACACAGGAGAGAAGCCCTACAAATGTGAGACGTGTGGGAAGGGCTTCAGCTAGAGTTCACACCTTCAGGACCATCAGCGAGTCCACACTGGAGAGAAACCCTACAAATGTGACGTGTGTGAGAAGGGCTTCAGTTGGAGCTCACACCTTCAAGCCCATCAGAGGGTCCACACAGGAGAGAAACCCTACAGATGTGAAGAGTGTGGGAAAGGCTTCCTCTGGAACTCCTATCTGCACGTTCACCAGAGGATCCACACGGGAGAGAAACCCTATAGATGTGGCATGTGTGGGAAGAGCTTCAGTCAGACCTCACATCTTCAAGCCCATCGGAGAGTCCACACTGGAGAGAAGCCCTACAAATGTTTTGACTGTGGCAAGGGCTTTAGTAAGAGTTCGTGTCTTCACGTTCATCAGAGAGCCCATAATGGTGTCAAGTGCAATACACGTGATGAGTGTGATAAAGGTGTTCTTCAAAACTTAGATTTCTCATTTTCATCAGAAGATCCACACAGCAGAGAGTATTTATAAAATGTTGTGTTTTAAGAATTCAGTACTGAATTCTTAAAGTTTTTTACAGTCATCCGAATTCCATTGGAGGAAACCTGTTTGCTGTATGAATACAGCTGTTGTTTCCGACAGAGCTCAGAATGTCACAATTCTTAAGAGAATGCACAAGAGACAAACCTTGTTAATAACGTACAATAAGTTTGCCGGAACCTTCACGTTCAATAGAATCTGCACAGGAGAGACGCCTCAAAAATTATAAGGAAGGGTCCAGCGCAGTGGTGCAGAGGTTAGGTTCACATGTTCCACTTCAGCAGCCCAGGGTTCACTGGTTCCAACCCCAGGCACAGACCTAAACACCACTTATCGAGCCATGCTGTGGGAGGCATCCCACATATAAAGTAGAGGAAGATGGGCACAGATGTTAGCTCAGGGCCCGTCTTCCTCAGCAAAAAGAGGAGGATTGGAAGCAGATGTTAGCTCAGGGCTAATCTTCCTCAAAAAAAAAAAAAGTGATAAAGAAGAGCAGCGCACTAGCAGGTGTAATGATGGACATGACAAAGTCCATATCCACTAGAATGTGAGCTCCATGGGGCAGGAAGTCTGTTTACTGCTGTATGACCATGACCTTGAACCAGTGCCTGACAAATAGTACGTGCCCTGGGCTTGTCTAACTTGCTGGAAAAGAAAACCTATTCTAAATAGGACAAGTATTTGAAGTTTTTAGTGAGCTCAACCTCAGTTAGTCATAATAAGTTGTACTAGGAAAAGGACTCTTGTAGAAGCCTCAAAAATTAATCCAAGGAAATGATCATTTAATAAAAATACATAAAATCATGCATCTGCAGTTTGAGTGTAAGACTTTTGCAGCTGGCTTCTGTCCTCTGTTCAGCTTCTCTTTTCAAGCAGCGAAGGGCTAAAGTTTTTATCTTATTGCAGACTTTTTCTGTGCAGCATACCACCAATAAGGTAAGTTTCACTATCTTTCTTTTTTGAGCCTTTTGTGACAGGAACAGACTGAATGTAAAAAGAGAAACTTGTCTTTAATTCCATAAAGCTTCATGAGAAAAGAGTGTACAAAAAAGAGGGAACAGGGCCCACCCTGGTGGCCCAGTGGTTAAGTTCGGCGTGTTCTCTTTGGCAGCCCAGGTTCAGTTCCTGGGTGTGGACCTACACCATCCGTCTGTCAGTGGCCATGCTGTGGCAGTGACTCACATAGAAAACGAGGAAGATTGGCAGTAGATGTTAGCTCAGGGGGAATCTTCCTCAGCAAAAAAAAAAGAAAGGAAAAAAGAGGGAACGTATTATAGTGTGCATTTTGGATGTTGAGCTAAGGGATTAAGGCACTGAGTGAGCGTCTTGGACACTGCCCCATGCTTCTCAGATGCCTCAGTGGTTTTCAGGTGTGCTTGGTTGATCAGTTTACTCAGGTGTATGTTGACTGGAGGCAGGGGACAGTTTCCCACCATTTTTTCCCCTAAACTTTACCTTCCAGGACGCTGGATACTTAAGTTCCCTGTCATCTCAGGTTTCACGTTACCCTCAGAAATCCAGGGCCAACACTGCTCTGCTTTGTCATTACCAGACACTAGGGTGGGGACCACAGCTCATGGTTGCTCATGTCAGCTAGGACGTCTTCAATCGTAAGAAATAGAAAACCCAACTCAAACCAGCTGACACAAAAATGAGGATTACTACTCGTAAATCCTTGTCAGATAATCCCAACATCTAAGTTGTCTCGGTATTTATGTCTGTTGATTGTATTGTCTCCTTCAAGTGGTGATTGTTCTGGTTCTGGGTATCATGCGTGATTTTTTTGTTTTATTGTATCCTGGATATTTTGGGTATTATGGTGCAAGATTTTGGATTCCATTTAATCTTTTTTAGCAAGCAGTCACCCTGTTTAGGTGTGGTAATAGGTCCAAGTTGGGGTGGAAGTTCAACTCTCCTCTGGGCCCTCTTGACACTGTGCGTGTGTGGATGGGGGTGGTGTGGGTGCGGGTAGGGGGCAGAGAGCCAGTTGGCACCACTTCCTTGCTCCTGAGTGGGGGTGAAAATTCAGCTGTCCCTGTCCAGCCTACTGACATAGCCCTAGTGGGGTGAATTGGAGCCCTGACTCAGACCGCCTCATTCCTGTGGGTGGTGGGAGTGAGGTGGGGGAGGTGGAAATTCCACTCTCCACTCAGCCCACTGACCATCCTGGCTGGGGAGGGTCAGGCAGACCTGGTACTATGCATCCTTTTCTGTCATTTTTGCCTTCTCCCTTTCTGAAAGGAGGACAGTTCAACAAATTCCAGGGAAGTCAGGTTTCCTTTCTTTGTTCAATACCTTGTTCATCCTCAGAGAATGGCTAGGTCTCTCTTAGGGACAGAGCTTAGCGTCCATTGAGGGGCACTGCAGGGGCACCATCCTTCGTGTGTTTCAGCCTCAGTGAGGAAAGTGATAGTATTCCCATTGTAATGTTAGGAAATAGGATCAGGGAGGTTAAAACCATCGCCCTAGTTTGCACAAGTAGCAGGATTTAAACAGTTCTCAAAATTCAAGATTTTAATTTTTCTTTTTTCAATGAGGAAGATTGGCCCTGAGCTAACATCTGTGCCAGTCTTCCTCTATTTTGTACATGGGACACCGCCACAGCATGGCTTGACAAACGCCGCGTAGGTCCATGCCCAGGATCTGAACCTGTGAACCCCGGGCCCCTAAAGAGGAGTGTGCAAACTTAACCACTACGCCACTGTGCTGGCCCCAGATTTTAATTATTAATTATGAAAAATTTCAAAAATACTCAAAAGGAGAAAATATAATGGACTCCTATATATTCATCACCCAAATTCAACAATGATCAAGATTTTACCACATTTGCTTAATCTATCCCTTTTTCCTTTTTTCTTATACGCCAAAGTAATTTAAAGCTAATCCCTGATATATCATTTCACACCTACCTACTTCAGCGTAGTTTTTGCAAAACTGCAAAGCCATTCTCATACCTGACATAATTAATAATCAAATTTCTGTGATTACTTCAAATTTTCACTTTACAGTTTAGTCTGTAGTTTTATTTCCCTCTTTCTCTCCCTCCCTCCCTCCCTCTTCTCTCTCTCCCCCTCCCCCTCTCTCTCTCTTTCCCCACTTTCCTTCCCCTCCTTTCTTTTTTCTTCTTTTTTTTTGTATTACCTTTCTCTAGTTAGGGTACCAGGATGATAATTGGCCTCTTCCATTTTCTCAAAGAGGTTGTGTATAATTGGTGCTGCTGCTGCTTCAAATATTTGGGAGAATTCTCCAGTGAAACCATCTGGGCTTAGAGATTTCTTTTTTTGGAAACTTTTAAGTTATGGATTACATTTCTTTAATGGTTATAGGGCTATTCTGATTATTTCACATTGGGTGAATCTGGGTAGTTTGTTTTGAAGAATTGGTCCATTTCATTTAAGTTGTTGAATTTACATGAGTAGAGTTTTTCACAGAATTCTTTTATTGGCTGTAGGATCTGTAGTTATATCCCTCACTTTATTCTTGATGTTGGTTGTGTGCTGTCTTATCTCTGTCAGTCTTGCTAAAAGCTTATCAATTTTACCAATCTTTTCAAAGAACCAGCTTTAGTTTCATTGCTTTTTCTTTACTTTTCTGTTTTCAATTACATTTATTTCTGCTCTTTATTACTTCCTTTCTTGTGCTTGCTTTTGATTTATCTTGCTTTTCTTTTTCCAGTTCCTTGAGTAGGAGCTTTGATTATTGTTTTGAGACCTCTCCTCTTTCTAATGTAAGCATTTAGTGGCATAAATTTCCCCTCTCAGCCCCATGGATTTTAATATGTTATGTTTTTATTTTCATTCCATTTCCAAATATTTGGAGATTTTCTTGTTTTAAAATTTGTTTTGTTTTTTAGTTTAATTTCTAGTTTGATTCCATCACGGTCAGAGAACATACTTCTTATGATTTTGATCAGCTCATATATTCCCAGACATCAATTTATTCCCTCAGGGAGAAAACAATATAAATATTACGCATGTGGTAAGGGCTGTAGAGGGAACTCATGTCTTACAGCCACCATTGAATTCACACTGGAAGAACAGTGTGACAAGTATAATTGCATGCTAAGGGATTTGGGTTTAGGTCACCTATTTGTGTTCATCAGGGAGGAGAGGAAAGAAGTGCTAAGCAAATGACGAGTATGGAGAGGGATTTGATCAGAGCTCCCATCTTGTCCCCTGGAAGATGCATGTTGGAGAGAAATCCTAAAAGGCAGTGAGAGTGGAGAGTGTTTTGGTTGAAGTGATATTCTTCAAGTCCACTCAGTTTGCACTGAGGCGAGAGGACTTCCTGTGAATAAGGGTGGGAAGAGCAGCAGAGAGAGCACATACCTTCACATTCACGAGAGTCCACAAGGAAAAGAAGCCCTACGAATGCTCCATACTTAGAAAGGATTTGACGTACGGCTGAGTTCTCCACACTCATCGGAGAGTTCTCTCAGGAAATCCATCCCACAGATATGAATGTGGTAAGAATGAAAAAGACCATGAACGTGATGAGTGCAGTAAGGGCTTCACTTGGAATTCAGATCTTCATGTTCATCTTAGAATCCACGTGGGAGACAAGGCTCCATAAATGTAAAAAATACAGTAGGGACTTCAATTGAAACTGCCATCTTTTGGCTCATCAGCGATGAATGAAGAAGAGAAAACCATATACATATGAAGAATTTACTGTTTTCAATAATAGTGCACACCTTCTCCCTCATCAAAGTCTGCACAAGAGAACAGAATTCTTGACCCTTCAGGGCTCAGTGCAGAATCAGATGCCACTGTCTATAATCCAGGCATGAATGCTTTCAGAAGAGTCAGAGACACACACAACTGTTGGAAAGGCTAAGGGAATGATGACCAGGGAAGCAACACCAGCCTGCAGCATCAAAGTGGACTCTCAGGAGCTTTCTTAGATGCTCCTGCCAATCTTGAGAATCTGTCCACAGCAGCCAAGGGGGTGATCCTCCAGGGCTTTCTCTGAAGCTGCTGAAGACGGGGAAGGCCCCACATACTATCTCAGTCGTGGACACCAATGTGGGTGATTACCAAGAAGCTCTCCTGGAAGCTGCCTCAAAGTTCTTGCCCGCCCCTGCCTCTGCCTGCAGCTGCCTGCAGAGAATAATGCCCTCTCTTCTCGGGCTTTCTGAATCCCATGTGAGCACCTTCTCAGTGGCTAACTGTACCCAAGAAGCATCTGGGGAAGGGGATTCTGAGATACGCTGTTCTTGTCTTCTCTTCCAGTGTAGGAGACCTTAGAAGAGCCAGTCATGAAGAAGTGATGAAGCCAAGTCAACCACACACAGTCTAGCATAGTGCTGTAAGGGCTTCATTTGCACCTCAAGTCTTAGTAAACACCAGAGTCCACGCTCATTTGTGTTCAGTCCACATATGTGATGCTGAAAGAAGGGCTACAGTTAGCGCTCGCCTCTGTGAGGACCAATTTTGCTCATGCAGTTGAGAGACCCTATCGGTGTCATGACTGGCGAGGATGCCAAGGGAACCTCTGGTCTTCCCAATCGTTAGACATCGATGCAGAGCAGAAACTGTGAATGTGATCATTGTAACCATGGCTATCATCAGAGACTGCAATCCTACTGTCTACACAGGAAGAAAATTGTAATTCGGATGAGTCTGCAGATTTATTAAAAAGACCGTGTTAGAAAAATAACCTGAATGTGGTCAGGTCAGACAAGTTATCAGAGAGTGTATTCAGAGTATAAATGAGAGTGTGGTGAGAACTTCAGTCAGCGCTCAGGCCCTTAGATTCATTAGTCTCCACCACATGAGAGAAGGTCGACTAAAGTGATATCTTAAGAGTGTAATGGGAACCCTGCTATCTGGTCACCGTGCGTGTCTTTCTGGACACACAGGAAAGCTATGTTCACATCCTCCTACACAGCTGGGTTGTAGCCAAGTGACTGAGTTCTGGCCAATGGACTGAGGACACAAGGTATATGTACCACTTCCTGGCCTTGCCCATGAAGCTATTCCACGTGGTTCTCCCCTTCCTCTTCCACCGGGACCTCTAACCGTGAGTCATGGATGCCGCTTGTTCCATATTGTGTCGCTCTAAGGGGACGGACTGCCTGACCCCTGCTGGGCATCCCTTGAGTGAGGAACTTTTGATGCGCTAAGCCCCTGAGATTTCAGGGGATCTCTGAAGTGTACGTCTGTCCTGAATAATACAAAAGGTCTCAGTAGCAGCCGATTTCATAATTACCCACGAAGGTCACCCTGTAATTCCCTCTCTCCCTCCCCCCCTTAAAATTTTGAAATAATTATTTTCGAACACATGAAATTTACAGGCACAGTAACAAAGGACTTTCCTGAACTTTTGTAAAAATAAGATCTCATGATGCCCCATCCCCCCTGCATGCTCTAGTGTATGTTATACACAAATATGGATATTTCTCTACACAACCATTTTATAACAATCAAAGTCAGGAAGTTAACAGTCGGGCATTACTACCATCTAACCCCCGTATTCCATTCACGTTTCACCAATTGTCCCGTTAATATCCTTTATAGGAAAATTATCCAATCCAGGATCACACAATGCATTTTGTTGTCCTGTCTCCTTAGGCTCCATCACTATTGAACAGTTCTTCAGACTTTCATGACCTTGTCACTTTTGAAGATTACATGCTAGGTATTTTTTTATTGCGTAGGACATCCCTTTATTTGGACTTGTCTGATGTGTCCTCGTGATTAGATTCAGGCTATGTGTCTTTGGCCAGAACATCACAGAAGTGACAATATGCTCTTAGGCTTACACTCGATTATCCCACTTGTGGTGACATTGTGATTACTGGATAATGTGATGTCTGCCATAACTTTCCACCGCAAAGCTACTCTTTTTTCCTTTATAATTAAGAAGTAGTTTGTGGAGTGGCACTTGGAGTTCATGTAAATATCCACTCTTCATTAAGCCCTCATTAATTTATTTATTAATATCGATATGGACTCCTGGATTTCTAATCTATCAATGTCTTATGATCAGTTGCTTTCTTTTATTTTGATCTTCAGATGAACCCAGCTTTGGTAATGGGAACCCCTTCAAGCTGGCTTCTCTGTTCTGTTGACATGTCCCCGTCATTCTTGAGTCACCCCCTTACTTGCTGGGACAAAAGGATGTGCGAGGCTCCCCTCATACTTTCCCAGCCCCAGAATCAGCCGTTTTTTTACAAGAATCCCTTCTTTCATTCAGTGGAGAATGGTATTTAGAAACCAAAATGTGGATACTAGGTACACACATTACTTTAGAGGCTCATTGCTCCTTTATATATTTTCTATATTTTTGAAAAGCATAAACTGACACCGATACCTCCGATTCTAATCCCAAACTGCAAGGTGCATTCTGTTTTTCTCCTTTTCCTGGGAAGTGCTCCTGTGCAGAAGAGGTACCATAGCAGGTCTCAGGCTGCCGTCTGGAGAAAGGCCTGCTTCCAAGGTTGCCCTCGAGGGACGTCTGGGAACTGGATTTTGGTCGGGTTTCCACGGTTCCCTGACTGATAACAGGGATCCCCTGTGCCTAGACTCTTGGTGCAAATAATGCGGTGCATGCTGAACACCTGCCTTCCCTCTGGGCGTCGGGACTTTGAGCAAGTGCCGGGCAGAGCGTGCCCATGTGAGCGGCCTGCAGTCAGTGTCACGGGCACTCTGCGTCTAAGGGGCTTGCCTGAGAGAGACGCTTCACACATGCGGTCCCACGTGTTGTCGGGGGGATTAAGTGTGTGCTGTGTGACTTCACACAGAGAGGACAGTTGGGAATTTAGACTGGCTTCCTCCACACTTCGCCCCATGGAACAAAGCTTTAGATAAACCAGAGGGAAAAAAGAGAGTGAGGAAGGGAAACACTGAGCCTCCCAGATAGAAAACACAGCACAGAGTTGTCCCAGCCTCTCTCCGCCAGCAGCTGTAATGCTGACCTTGTAAATGCTGGGTTTATTGTCAGGGGCTGGGGGCGGGGAAGGGACTTTTAAAAACACACCTTTGGGGCTGGCCAGGTGGCATAGTGGTTACGTTTGTGTGCTCCACTTTGGCCACCTGGGGTCATGGGTTCAGATCCTGGGTGCGAACCTACAGACGGCTCACCAAGCCACCCTGAGGTGGTGTCCCACATAAAATAGAGGAAGACTGGCACCAATGTTAGCTCAGTGACAATCTTCCTTACCAAAAAAAAAAAAACAAAAAAAAAACCCCACCCCAAAACCATGCCTTTGTATTTTGTGGCTGTTGCACCTGGATATATGATAAAAATTGATGTAAAATGTTCTATGCTTATAACTTCATGAATGCTAGAGGGCCGGCCCAGTCACGGGAAGCAGCACAGAAACAGTGTCGGTCCCACATTCCCTTGCTCGCTGCTGTTGGTGGGTGCGTTGAAACTTAAACTCTGAGTTTTAGGAACAGAATAAGTCTCCTTAACTGGTGATTTTTGCTCTGAGTCTTGCCTCTTGGAGCCTCTGGACAAAAAGGGAGAGCACATGAAAAGAGAGGCAGTCCAGAGGGAGATGCACCTGTGGAGTTTGCAAAAGCAGTTTTTAGTCGCTGTGGAGCTCCTGGGGAATCAGAAGTCTGACCCTGCGAGGCTGATGCGTCTGCAGCCCGGTGTGCACGTGCATGGTTGTGAGAGGGTCGGCGTGCACGTGAAGAATAACAGGGTAGAGAGGGCTTCCGGAGGCCTTCCCTGGACTCGGGACACAGCCGTCTGGCCCTATAGAGTCTCGGCTTTGCTGCTGCCACAGAAAAGCAGCCGACCTTTTAGAATCTGCAATCACAGATCCTGATTGCCTGGCCCTGGCTCTGAGCTGAGACCTGATACTGAGCCTGACTCTTTCCGCCCCAGCGCGTGCTGTGCTGAACTGAAATGGGATGGCATTCTTTCCCTCAAGAAAACGGCTCAGGCTATGTGACTATTGCAGACTTAAGACACCCCTCTAGGGGGACCCTAGCTGTGACAGAACATCATGGGTGCTGCCACTTCTGGATAGATATCCAAAGGAAATGAAAACAGGCTGTTGAAGAGACATATGCGCTCCTATGCTCATTGCAGCAATATTCACAATAGCCAAGACGTGGAAACAACCCAAGCATCCAGCAACAGGTAAATGGATAAAGAAGATGTGGTACATGTACACAATGGAATATTTATTTTATTTTTTATTTTTTGTTGAGGAAGATTTGCCCTGAGCTAACTGCTGTTGACAATCTTCCTCTATTTTGTATATGAGCTGCCACCACAGCATGGCCACTGATAGATGAGTGGTCTAGGTCCGTGCTCAGGAACTAAACCCAGGACACTGAAGCAGAGCACGCCAAACTTAACCACTAGGCCACGGGGGCTGGCCCCCACAATGGACTATTATTCAGCCATGAGAAAGGAGGACATTCTGCCATTTGGGACAACATAGATGGACCTTGAGGGCATTATGCCAAGTCAGTCAGAGAAAGACAAATACTGTATGATTTTCTCATGTGTGTGGAATCTAAAAAACTGCAAGTGTAAAAGCAGAGTAAAAGCAGTGGTTACCAGGGGCTGGAAGCTGGGGAATGGGAGAGTGTTTCAGGGTACTTACTTGTACCCTAGTACTCCAGAACTAGTAGATAAATAAGCTCTGGAGATCTAATGCACAGTATAGTGATTATGGACCACGAAACTGTATTAGAAACATTAATCTTGCTAAGAGACTAGGTCTTTATTGTTCCCAACACTGGAAGAAATGATACTTAGGTGGCATGATAGAGGTGTTAACTAACACTACAATGGCAAGCACAGTGCAATATAAATGTCCCAAATCAGTATGGTGTGCACCTTAAACTTACACAATGTTGTCCGTCCAAAGCATCTCAGTTAAGAGGAGTTGAAAATAAACCCATCATGGATGCTGCTGGACCCTCTGGGTCACACGGAAAGGCCCCCAGAAAAGGGCGTATTGTCTGACGGGACCGTCTGAAGCTGAGCTGCCGAGCGACACTGTCTAAAGCAGAGACCGGTTGCCTTCTGTCTGTCAGCTAGAAACACATCCGGACTTCAGTAAGGGGAGGCTTCCTTCAAAGAGACGTGCAATGGGGAGGATCCTGGGATTTCAGAAATCTGCAAGTATCTCAAATTTAAAAGAAAAGGGCGTTTCTTTCATAAGGCGGGGTAAGAAGGGCTAGTGGGAACTTTGTGGGGGAGAAGGAGGCCAGGAGCAGGTGGCCCAATCAGGCCTCTGACAGGAAGTGCTTAATGTCTTCAAAGACATCCCACAGATGTCCTTGAGATGCTTGGGGCCAGCAGACGAGGCGAGAAACCCAGAAGATGCCCCCGGAAAATGAAACTGCAGCTCAAACCCCCTGACCTGGGAACCTCAGCTGTCACCTCGTCCACACCCACCCCGTCAGACTGTGGGTTCCTTCATTGTGCATCTTGCCCCTTGTGTGTCTCAGGGACTGGCAATAGAAGCTCAGTAAGAATTACTCTCCCAGACAACACAGGCAGTTAGTTAACAGAATATCCCGGAGAGCGGTGGAAGCTTCTGGGAGGCAAGACCGGAGTAGGGTTTTGAAGGGCATGGGAAAGGTCTCCAGGAAAATACAGGGAAAGACGGTCTTCCAGGGGGAGACAATGGCCTGAACAAAGGGGTGAGAGGTCTTGAGGACTCAGGGAAGGCCACGTCTGGAAAGTCAGGTCTAGGAAAGGGGCCCTGCTGGACGTCACGGACACAACCGAGCCAGGTGCACCAGCCCCTTATTTGGCTGGTGGATGTTTCCCTGAACCCCTGGAATTGTTAGATCTCCGGGCGACTCCCAGTTATGGACAGAGCAGAGGGCATCTGACCTCGCCGGAGCCCGAGAGAGGAAAGGAAGGGCTGTGGGGGCTGGGGTGAGGGGAGGGGTGCTTCTCCAAGCGGGAAGAGAAAATAATAATGGGTAACATGTCCCGAATGCTTGCCGTGTGCCGGGCACCATCCTGTGGGTTTTACGTATATTGACTGCGTTAAGCCTCACAACAGCCCTGTGAGGAAGTCCCAATTATCTCCCTTTTACATGGACGAGGTGATGAGGCACAGAGAGGGAGCCAGTCAGCATGAGAACCGCAAATATGCGGCTCCAGAACCACACCCTTTCCCCCCGGGGATGTCATCTCGCCATCAGACCATTCGGCCACAGGAGCCCTTGACCTCTTTTTTTGTGTCTGTCCTTTACTCTTTGTGGGGGATGAATGGTGCCCCCCACCCAAATATGTCCATGTCCTAGTTCCCAGAACCTGTGAATCTGTTCCCTTCTCTGGCAAAAGGGACTTTGCGGGTGTGATGAAGTTAAGGCTCTTAAGATGGACAGAGCATCCTGGATTATCCAGGTGGACCCAGGGGAATCACAGGGTCTCATAAGAGGGAGGCAGGAGGGAGGAGAGAAGAGAAGATGCTATGCAGCTGGTGCCGAAGATGGGAAGGGGCCACGAGCAGCCTCTAGAAGCTGGAGGAGGCGAGGAGCGGATTCTTCCCCTGAGCCTCCAGAGGGGACCAGCCCTGCCAACACCTTAACCTTAGCCCTGTAGGACTTGCTTTGGACTTCTGACCTCCAGAAGGGTATGGGAAGACGTTGGTGTTGTTTTAAGCTAAGTTGGTGCTTTTTACGGCAGCCATAGGAAACTAAGGCACTCCTCGATGGTCCTCTCACGGATTCTACGAGAACGCCCCCCGATCTGTATATGTCATTAGAGTGGCCCGGTGACAAAATGAAGTGCACAGGCCCTAGAGGCAGAGCTGGATCAGGTCCAGCCACCTAGTTTTTCCATGAATGATGGTTCCTTGCCTGTCATTAGGATCTGTATCATTGTTTTAATGGCTGTTCATTAGAACATACTGAAATATTTTGCTGATACTTCCTATTTTAAAGAATTCAGTGTAAACATCCGCGTGTGCAGTCCTTCTCACTTTTGCTATCATCTCCGAAGCAAAACCTCTCGTGCCAGGTCAAAGGGTATTTTGAGACATGTTGACCAGCTGAGGTTGTTGACTTCCTACCAAGAGAAGCGAACAGAGAATGCTGTGTAAATGGCAACCCATCTAGATTGTTACATTTCATAAATTTCAACAAAATTCAACAGGTGTCTTGTCGCCCCCATTTGGGGGGAAGAATGGGGTGGAATGCGACAAAATTAATGTCCTTGAAATCTGAAAAGCCCCTGCCTAGAGGTCTTGGATGGAGGAAGACTAGGCATAGAGAAAGCCTTCTGGGCTAGGCCTGAATGGAAAAGATGAGAAGAAACCAAGTACCAACAATTCAAGTTTACTAAGAAATTTTTTATCATTAGTAACTACTTTTAACATTTTTCAGAGAGGTACAGAAAACTCCTACCTTAATGAATTAAGGTTCAAAATTTCCAATCATACAAATTGCAGTATCATGTAACTAGATTAATTTTTTTAGCCTGTAAAATACAAACTAAGGATACTAAATATTACACTGAACACAACGGATGGTGCATTGTACAGAGAAGGAAGGCTGGGAGGGACAGCAGCCATTCACAAGTCTTGTCCAAATTTCTAGTATTGTGGACGGCAGTATCACATGACTTCCTGTACTTCAATCAGTATTTCCTGAAAATCTTATTAAGGCTACTTGCAGGATTCCTTTTGAGTACGTCATTATGAATTTAGGGTAGAGAAAGGACTAGAATTTCCAACTATTTGTCCTAATTATAGGGATTTTCTGCACTTGGTTTAGCAATGGCTGGGCAGCAATGGCGAGCCAAGCCCAGTTCTACATGGTAGAGATACAGGGCTGGAAACCATCGCTCCTACATGGAGGTTCCATTGTAGTGGACGTCAGTTTTGTTGATCATTATCCTTTTGCTAAAGTCCTGCCCCAAATCTTCATTGATAAGCCATCTTCTGGGCAGATTCCGGTGAATTTCCAGACTCTCCTGTTTGAGAACTGGGACATTCAGAACTGTGGTACAAACACTGACCATCTTTCTAGAGTCGGTTTTCTTTCATCTGTGAACTCTGATGTTTGTAAAGAATCTCCCACTGGAATCCTTAAAACACAGCATTTTATGGAGCTTCTTTCCCGCGAAGATTCCCTGAAGCTTCTGAGTTCGGAAGGAATGCTCCACAGGGATCAGCACAGACTTTGCAATGGACAGGAAGATGTGAACTCTGACCGAAGGCTACACCGCTCGCCACATTTCTACAGATTCCCTCCGGTGTGGACTCTTTGATGGTATACGAGATGTGATCTCTGGCTGAAACCCTTACAACACACATCACAGATATACGGTCTCTCTCCAGTGTGGACCCTCTGATGTGTGTGAAAGTGTGAGGCCTGACTGAAGCCCTTGCCACACTGCTGACACATATAGGGTTTTTCCCCTGTGTGGACCCTCTGATGAGCACTGAGTCCTGCACTCCAACTGAATTCTTTTCCACACTCCTCACATTTAAATGGTTTCTCTCCGGTGTGAATGATCTGATGGACTTGTAGATTGGACCTCTGGCTGAAGGCCTTCCCACACGTGTCACATTTATATGGTTTCTCTCCGGTGTGGACTCTCTGGTGGGCCTGAAGATGTGACGCCTGACTGAATCTCTTCTGACACGCATCGCATTTGAATGGTTTCTCCCCAGTGTGGACGCTCTGATGAGCTTGAAGATTTGAGGCCTGACTGAAACCCTTCCCACACTCCTCACATTTGTAGGGTTTCTCTCCGGTGTGGACTCTCTGATGATTGTGAAGATTCAAGCTCCAGTTGAAGCGCTTCCCACAGACCTCACATTTGTAGGGTTTTTCTCCAGTGTGGACCCTCTGGTGGGCTTGAAAATAGGAACTCTGACTGAAGCCTTTACCACACACATTGCACCGAAATGGCTTCTCTCCTGTGTGAACCCTCTGATGGCTCTGGAAACTTGAGGCAGAACTGAAACCCTTCCCACACTCTTCACATTTATAGGGTTTCTCTCCCGTGTGGACGCGTTGATGACTATGAAGATTAAAGCTCAAACTAAAGCACTTCCCGCACTCATCACATTTGTACGGTTTCTCTTCTGTGTGGACTCTCTGGTGGGTGTGAAGATTTGAGCTACAACTAAAGCGTTTACCACAATCTGCACATTTATATGGTTTCTCTCCAGTGTGGATCCTTTCGTGGGCCTGAAGATGTGATCTCTGAGTGAAGCCCTTCCCACACACTTCGCATTTATAAGGTTTCTCTCCAGTGTGAACTCTGCAGTGAATATTGAGGTCTGTACTACGACTGAAGCCCTTCCCACAGCTTTCACACCTATAGGGCTTCTCTCCTGTGTGAATAGGAAGGTGGGCATAAAGATGTGAGGTCTGGTTAAAGCTCTTCCCACACTCGTGGCATGAATAGGGTTTCTCCCCTGTATGGACTCTCTGATGAGTCTGCAGGTTTGAGCTCTGGCTGAAACCCTTCCCACACTCATGACACCAATAGCGTTTATTTCCTGTGCAAACACTCTGTTGAATGGGAATAGCTGAACTGTAACTGGCGTCCTCCTCATGGGCACCATATGCAGGGGACGTCTTTCCCAAGTGAACCTGCTGATGAAGTTCCAGTCTGGAGCCACCACTGAAGGCTTTTTCACGTTCATTGCATGGGTAGGTGCTCTGTCCTGTGTGGATTACACTGTGCTGGGCAAGAGGTGATGCCTTCACCATGTCTTTCCCACAGTCTCTGTTGCCATGAGCTTCATCTCTTTTGTCGACAGTGTCAGCATCAGGGTGTGAAACACAACTGAAAATGTCAACATATGGAGCAAATATACACAATCTGCTTTTCAGCTGAGTCTGCTCACAACTTCTCTGATAATTCTGTGTCTCATTCAGATATATTTTACTCCAAGAATTCTGAGCTGTCCCAGTTGGAAACTCTTGATTTTCAGTAATGTTGGACTGATCCTCTATAAGATTCATTACACAGCTGTCATCCACATAAGCTTGAATGGATACTCTGGCTCCCGCTTCACAGGGGGGATTACATTGTTGGGGGAACTGAGAACTCTTTCCTTGAATATTTATCATGGAGTCTTGACTTTGGGTTAATTTGCTTGTGTGTTTCTTGATTTGCCAGCATGAAAGCTCTCCCAAGGAAATGCACCTGACTCCTGCTTCGGGAAGAGTTTTCCTCTCATTTTGACTGCTACCTCCTGAAAGAATTAAGGAGAGAGAGAGTGACATCAGCAAGATGGGGGACTAGAAAGCTCCAAGCCGTTGTTCCCACACGGAAATATTAACAAAGCAACTAGAGGGGCCTGCCCAGTGGGGTAGTGAAGCGCATTCCACTTCAGCAACCTGTGGTTGGCAGGTTCTGATCCTGGGTACTGACCTACATACTGCTCATCAGGCCATGCTGTGGTGGCATCCAACACACAAAATAGAGGAAGATGGGCACAGATGTTAGCTCAGCATCAATCTTACTCAAGCAAAAAGAGAAGGCTTGGCAACGGACATGAGCTCAGGGCCAATCTTCCACACACACACAAAAGACATAGAAAGGTGAATGGATTAAGAAAACAGCATTCCAGTATATGCTGTCTAGAAGAAACTCACCTTAAATCTAAGCACGCACACAGATAGAAACCAAAATGATGGAACAATATATTCTGTGCATAGTAACCAAAAGAAATCATATGGGTGGCTATACTAATATCAGATGAAATAGACTTTAAGTCAAAAACTATTACAAGACACAAGGAAGAACACTATATGATAAAAGGGTCAAATCACTAAGAAAGTCTAACAATAATAAACATATATGTACCAAGCATCAGAGCTCTTAAATATATGAGGCAAACACTAACAGATCTGAAAGGACAGAGAGCTCAACAGTAATGGTAGGAAACTTGAAAACCTCACTTTCAATAAAGGAGAGAACAAGCAAAGAGATGATCAATGAGGAAACGGATGCCTTGAACAACATTATTGACCAACTGGACCTTCAAGACTCATACAAAACGCTCCAGCCAACAACAGCAGAACAGACATTTTCCAGGTGCTGGCTGAACACTCTATAGGATGGACCATACATCAGGTCAGAAACAATCCATAATAAATTTAAAAGGACTAAAGTCATACAAAGCATCTTTTCTAATCACAATGAAATAAAATCAGACATTAATAGAAATAAACAGGAAAATCCAGAAGTATGTGGAAATTAACATACAATGAGTCAAAGAAGAAATCACAAGAAAAATACTATCTAGAGACAAAAAGAAAAAAATTATAGCATACCAAAACTTATGGGATGCAGTGAAAGCAGTGCTAAAAGTGAAATTTATAGCTGTAAATGCTTTCACTAAAAAAGAAGATCTTGGGCTGGCCCCGTGGCCAAGTGGTTAAAGTTTCATGTGCTCCACTTCAGCAGCCTGGGTTCACGGGTTTGGACCCACTCCACTCATCAGCCATGCTGTGGAGGCAGCCCATAAACAAAGTAGAGGAAGATGAGCATAGATGTTAGCTCAGGGCCAATCTTTCTCACAAAAAAATAAGTAAGATCTGAAATCAACAACCTAACTTTATACCTTAAAGAACTATAGGAAAATAAGAATAAACTGAACCCAAAGCTAACAGAAGGAAGGAAATAAGAAAGATCAGAGCAGAGAAAAATGAAATAGTGAATAGAAAAATACAGAAAAATCAACAAAAATAAGAGTGGTTTTTCAAAAAGATAAAATTGACAAACCTCTAGCTAGATTAAGGAAAAGAGACAATTAAACAAACTAGAATTAGAAAGTAGAACACTACTACTACTGACCGTACATAAATAAAAATGATTATAAGAATACAATGAATGTTAGTATGCCAACAAATTGGAGATATTAGACAAAATGGATAAATTCCTAGAAACACACCACCTACCAAGACTGAATCGTGAAAAATTAAAAATCTGAACAGATCAATAACTAGAATAAGGAGACCAAATCAGTAATCAAAAACTTGTCAACTACGAAAAATCCAGGACACAACCACATAGCTTCACTAATGAATTTTATCAAAATCAGAAAAGAAAGAGGGCCATAACAACTTATTTTACAGAAATGAAAAGGATGAGAGAATACTATGAAAAACTGTATGTTAAAAATTAAAACTAGGGGCCGGCCCTGTGGCCGAGTGGTTAAGTTCCCACGCTCTGCTTCAGTGGCCCAGGGTTTTGCTGGTTCGCATCCTGGGTGCAGACATGGCACTGCTTGTCAGGCCATGCTAAGGCAGCATCCCACATGCCACAACTAGAAGGACCCACAACTAGAATATACAACTATGTACTAGGGGGCTCTGGGGGAGAGAAAGCAGAAAAAAAAAAAATTGGCAATAGTTGTTAGCTCAGGTGCCAGTCTTTAAAAAAAAAAATTAAATGTAGATGAAATGGATAAATTCCTAGAGAACATGTAAACTACCAAGTCTGAATCATGAATACAAATTTAAACAGTCCAATAAGTAGTAGAGATTGAAACAGTGATCAAAAACCTCCCAACAAAGAAAAGCCCAGGACCGGATGGCTTCACTAGAGAATTCTACCAAATATGTAAAGAATTATCACAGAGCAAACATTTCCAAACTCATTCTATGAGGTTAGCATGACCCTGATCCCAAAGCCAAACAAAGAGACTACAGAAAAGAAAACTACAGACCAATGATCCTGTGATGAATATAGATGCAAAAATCCTCAACAAAATACTAGTGAACAGAATTCACCAGCAAAATAGGAGGATTTTATACTATGACCAAGTGAAATTTATTCCTGCAATACAAAGACGGTTCAAAATACAAAAATCTAACAAAGTAACATACCACAACAGAATGAAGAGAACACATGGTCCTCACAGGTGATGCAGTAAAAACGTTGACAAGATTTAACACCGCTGCCTGACAAAAACACTCAACAAACCAGGAATAGAAGGAAAGTCCCTCCACATAACAAGGACCATGTGAAAGCCCCCAGCAAACATCATCCTCCACAGTGAGAGACTGAAAGCTTTCCCTAACAGCAGGAACAAGGATGCCCACTTTTGCCACTTTTATTTAACACGGTCCTCAAAGTCCTAGCCAGAGAAATTAGGCAAGAAAGAGAAAGAAAGCCATCTAAGTTGGAAAAGATAAGTAAATAATACCTGTTTACAGATGACATTATCTTATTTGTAGAAAACCGTAAAGGTCCCACAAAATAGAACAAATGCTTAAGTATCAAGGAGCAAATTCAACAAAGTTGCAGGACACAAAAATCAGTTGCTTCTACACACTAACAATTAATGTCAAAACGAATACTCGGGAATTAACTTAACCAAGGAGGTGAAAGATTTGTACACGGAAAAACACAAAACACTGCTGAAAGAAAGTGAAGACATAAATCAATGGAAAGATATTCTGTGTTCATGGCTGGAAGACATCATATTGTAAAGATGTCAACAGTACCCAGGGCAATCTACACATTCCACACAATCCCTGTGGAAACCCCAACAGTGCTTTCTGCAGAAATATAAAACTCCGTCCTAAGATTCATACGGAATCTTAGTAGACTCCGAATTGCTAAAACAATCTTGAAAAAAAGAGCAAAGTTAGAGGACTCCCATTTCCTGATTTCAAATCTAATTACAAAAACAATGGAATAGAATATAAACTCTAGAAATAAACACTCGCATATACAGTCAAATGGATTTCAACAAGGCTGGCAAGACCATTCAACGGGGGAAGGACAATCTTTTCAACAAATGGTGTTGGGCAGTCCACATGCAAAAGAACAAAGTTGGACGCTTCCCTTACACCATATAAAAATCAAATCAAAATGCATCACAGACCTAAACTAAAAAGCTAAAACTATAGAACTCCTAGAAAAAAACCACAGAGGAAATCTTCCTATTAGATTGGGTGATGATTTCTTGAATGACACCAAAGTATGGGCAACAAAAATAAAAACAGATACATTGGATTACATCAAAATAAAAAAACCTCTGGGAATCAAAGGAGACAAATACCAGAGTGAAAAGAAAACCTACAGAATGGAAGGAAACTTTTTTTTTTTTTTTGGTGAGGAAGATTGCTCCTGAGCTAACATCTGTTGCCAATCTTTCTTTTCGCCTCCCCAAATCCCCAGTACACAGTTGTGTATCCTAGTTGTAAGTCTTTCTAGTTCTTCTATGTGGGATGCTGCCTCAGTATGGCTTGATGAGCAGTGTCTAGGTCCACAGCCAGGATCCGGACATGCAAACCCTGGGCCGCCAAAGCAGAGCACACGAACTTAACCACTTGGCCATGGGGCCAGCCCCTGAGGAAGGAAATATTTTCAAATCATGTATCTGATAAGGGATTAATATCCAGAATATATAAAGAACTCCTATAAATAAACAACAAAAAAACAATATGATTAAAAATTAGGCACAAGATTTGAATAGACATTTCTGCAAAGATAATATCACAAATGGCCAACAAGCTCATAAAAAGATGCTCAACATCTATAATCATTAGGGAAATGTCAGTGAAAACCATAATGGGATACAACCTTACACCCATTAGTATGGGTACTATCAAAAAAACCCAGAAAGTGAAAGCGTTGGTCAGGATGTGGAGAAACTGGAACCCTTGTACACTGTTGGTGGGAATGTAGCACGATGCAGCCACCATGAACAGTATGGTGATTCTTCAAGGAAATTAAAAACTAGACCATATGACCCAAGAATTCCACTTGTGGGTGTATACCAAAAACAGATGCAACAGAGCATCAAAGAGGTGTCTGTACACCCATGTTCTGTGCAGCATTATTCACAATGGCCGAAAGGCAGAGGAAACCCAAGGGTCCATCAACAGATGAATGGATAATCAGAAGGTGGTATGTACGTACAATGGAGTGATTCAGATTCAAAAAGGAAGCAAATTCTGACACTTGCTGCAACATGGAGGAACCCTGAGGACGTTATGTTAAGGGAAATACATCCGTCTCCAAAAGACAAATATTGTGTGATTCCACTCATTGGCAGGTACTCAGAGTAGTCACATTCATAGGGACAGAAAATAGTATTGTTGTCGCCAAGGGCTGGGGGGTAGGGGGACTGATGGTAAGTGTTAATTATTGAGTACAGAGTTTTACTTTGGGAAAATGAAAACGATGGAGAGGTGGATGGTGGTAATGTTTGCACAACAATTTGAATGTACTTAA